ATATTATAATAATATAAATAAAATATTGACCGCATTCAAAAATCGATTTTTGAAAATAGAGTCTCGTTTGATAGATTTAGAAGCATATATCTATGAAAAATAATTGTTACTCAATTATTGCGTTCACTAAATAGAGTCAGTGCCACGTGTTTGTTGGAGAACGAAAATGAAATTGACGATTGTTGCGCCGTCACTAATAAGTTTACGCATATAACATTGAAATACGTGTAGCATCTCTACACAAAGATCCAAGTAAGATAATTTTTTAATTTTCAACCATCTCTCTCTGTACGCGATAGATATGATAAAAGAAGGCAACGGCGTCTCCTAAAAAGTATTAGATATCTATATTAAAGAATAAAAAATGAAAAAAAGATTTCATCAATGTTAACAATGTTGCGTAGTATATTGTATCGTACTGTATCGTATCCTATAACATAATCGCGGTGCAATCAAAATTTATTTACATAATTTCAACATTTAATATTTTCGTAAAAAAACTTCCTGTAATCATTATACAAACTCGAATATTAACCGGAATTAATGGTACCGGCTCATATTCATAATACGTTTTGTCAACATCAAACATCTAACATAATAGAATGCTACAAATGATAAAACTATATCGAAGCGACATCGCGTAAAGTTTTCTTAAAGTTGATAATCAAGATTGAGATTCATCTTAGGAAGACATCTTAGGAAAGAGATTGTGACGGTGAGCGGCGTAATGAAAGTATCAATCGTGACGTGCACGACGTATGTACGGTAATGATATATGTTTCCTTGCAATCGCCACGCGAGTAGTGACAGAGCTGGTCTCGTGACGGAGAAGCGAATTCGTGATAACACGTGTAGAAAACGACAATAACAAATATCGATGTCATTTCACAAGAGAAGGAGGCATGTTGCTGTCAGAGAAGCCACCGCGGATGCGATCGTCGCCGAGCAACGAGATGTCATCAATGAAGGCCATATGTCAGGTGAGAGAGAAATGCGCGTGCGTGTGAAAAATCTTGCTCACGCACAGGCGTTAAAGCCCCTGTGTGGACAAACGTGGCAACCACGCCATGCGTACACGCAAACGAACACGTGACACGGGTTAAAGTTCGTTATCGTAAATACGGTCGCGGATGTTGCAACCTCGACAAATCAAAAGGCGATAGAATACGTTGAGTCGCCATCAAATATCGAATAAATTCAATTGAATTTGTCTCTCTCTAATAGCTGTAAGAGTATATAATTTAGCAATATATAATCCCAGCTTAATAAATTATTGCGAGAAATTAACGGATTTATTTTTATTGATAAAATATACAGATTCTATTCGCACATACGTTGTTTTATTGTATTATCTCATTCGAATCAAATATCGCGTGCAACTTTGTTAAATATGACAATTATCTTTGAAAAAAATAATATATACATATCATTTAAAGATAGCCGCGGGGGAGAAAGTTAATTGTTCTGCGAAAGATGAAAATTGTAGAGAATATGTTATGTATATTTACTTAGATCTGACTAATATTATCAGTGACACAACTTTTAATCCGTGATATTAAAATTGACAGTGGATACATCATGTTCAAAATTAGATGGCGTATTCAGTCTTAAATAAGATGCAAATATATGTGAGCTGGCTATAAGAAAATAAAGCAAGTTGTAGCTATTTTTCTTAATTTAATAGCGAGGATGACGCAACGCGCGTTGTATTGCGATAGATATATACTTGCGCGTAATTACAAAGAGATTGAGCTTTGCATCACTTTGCTTTATGACTCGTAATCAGGCCAACGGACGATCTCTCGCTGTGAATTCAAAGTCGCGTGTAGGAACGTATAGAAACAGTGCACGTGTAACTTATTTGTTGGAGCTAGCTCGTGTCTTCCATATCGCAATACATTGTCTATAGTAGATAGATACATTTTAATCGGTCTACAAGTAGAACTGCATGTGCCCGCATGATACACGAGTCTCAAAGTTCGCTTGAAGCTGCAGGATCGTATTTTTTAACAAGTTTTTCGAAATTCTTTCGATTTAAAGAAACGCAGCATCATCTCTCATAAACTTTTAAAATCAAGTTTTAAATTATAGATTTTCTGTTAAAATAAAAAGTCCACTGAAAATTGACTGTAAAATAAAATACACATTATAATTTTCTTTTGTTTTAAATAATTAATCATTAGAAAATATCTCGATTTTTAAATTTCTGATATAAAGATAAATCTCTCTCTATCTCTCTCTCTCTCTCTCTCTCTCTCTCTCTCTCTCTGACTGTAAAATATATATTTTAACAATCTATACACAATGTACATTTCTCACACAAAATATGCTATAAGTAAAAAACTGCGCAGTAATGTATAATAATTTTCCATTGTTAACAAAACATACTAAATATATAATAAAAATCACTATGTTATATAAACGTAGACATGAATATCATGACGCAGTCTTAATCATTATCCATTACCGGGACTCATTATCAACGCAGTGATTTTGCATCTTTATGCGACCTACGTTGCAATTGCTATTTACATTGCAATGGATCAAAAATAAATAATATTATTATTATTATTATAGAAGATTATTTAAAATTTCATCAGCCAAGAAGAGAATGTATTTACAAAATTGCATCGTTTTTCGCAATTCTTTGGATTGTGAGTTCGACATCAACAAACGTGCGTTTGATCTCGAAACCGCGCGCGCGCGAATTCAATTTTTCTGCGCGCGTTTTAATCGCATCAATTTTTTTAGATTTTTATTTTTTTACACTTGAGGACATTAAGTTATCATAAAGCTATGGAATTCGCGAGCAAAATGATAACGAAATAGATCACTGGCGAGTTACTTCTGCTCCGCTAAATGATTAAAGAGAACGCCAAACAATGATAATTATCGGACGCGAGCGATTCGCGCGGATTCGGAAACGCACGGGGAAATTCACGTCATTGACGCGGCCCTGACAAGTGCGCGACGTCGCGTCGGAGCGCGATTGCTGAGTCACATATCGCGAACGATCTCTCCCGGCAAGGTGCACGACGTTCATTCGGTCGGTTTCTCCGCGTATAACGTGTATACGATCGCATCACGCGTTCGCGCAAAAGTGTCTCGTACGGCAAAAATGTTTCTTCGTCCCCGCGCGAGATCGTCAATTGTGACATGAAGAGCGAATCTCGTGGCGCATAATTCGCGGGCTACTCGCCTGCTCGTGCATCCGTTTCGCGATTATTTTTTGTGTGTTTGTCGATGTATGTACGCATGTACATACATACATATATATAAGGTCATATATAAGTGTCATTATAAGAACCTGTCAAATTCTTTGTTCCCCCCGCTCATGTCAAATCGCAGCTGATCCGCGTGTGTGGTGTGTCACACTTGTCTGCTGCGACGCATCTCGCGCCGCTCGCGCCGCCAGCGCGACTCGATAGTGCCCGTGTGTACCGTCGACGATAAGGAGGTGCTGAGCCACTTATCAAAGGAATATTCGCGAGGCATGCGTGTGCGACGCGCGCGACTGCACCGCAGTTTGTGATGTGACTCGTGCGTTTTGAGGTTATTTCGGTCTCGTGTAACTGACCTAAGATACCGCTTGCTCGGGAAAAGCGCGAACCTTTTATTTTCACTCCGGCGCTACGAGCGTGGAGTCGACTTTTCGACGACTCTTTCCTCCGGGTTTCTAAAAATTGGAAACGACTGATGAGCAGACGGTACTGACTAGTGCGTTCTAACCTTAAAAACTGAAACTCAAGAATCGTCGAAATGTATTCCGTCGCGTGAACGGTGCATCGTTGTCGTTCTACGAGAAGATTCTTTGTTTTCGTGGGGATAACTTTGCATTACTTGCGTGCAGTGTCAATGAATATCTTACGGAATCACGTCACCTATTCATGATGTCAAACCTATTATTTGTACTTAACAAGGACAACAAACCACTGTGACAATACTTCAAGATATATAGAACTTTGTTTTTGTCTGTGCTGATTTAATTGGAGGAAGCTAGCAAGATGTTGTGCATGAAGAAACTGTATCGGGAGGAGCTGCTTCAATTAGCATTGCTGCTCTCCTTGCTACGCGTAGATCCAGAGTCTTATTTGGGTCTAGACATACAAACTCTCAATGTAGGATCTTTGGATCTCAATAATGGATCAGGATGGCACACGGATCACACAATTGTCCATCGTCTAATGTTTGTCCACCCAAAGAATCCAGATTCCATGCTTCTAAATTACCAGAGAGATATGTTCGAAGAGCTCAATTCATTAGGAAGATATAATAGAATGAATTCTGGTCTCAACGCTATACATGCTTATCTATTAAATATCGATGAATCAAATAGAGATGCACCATTGGCGGGTCCCAGTTTACCTGTTTCAACAAATACAACAAGAAACATGACATCTCCTGATCCGCCAACCTCTACGCAAAGTCCTGCAGAACCAATTGGCGCAACAGAACTTACTCAAGAGGTACATCTTTTAATTGATTATAAGCATAGAGATTTATAATATATGAAGATACGGCAAGGATTAGTATATATCAATATATATTGTAGAAATTGTGTATCTCTCTCTCTCTCTCTCTTTCTCTCTTTCTTTCTCACATTTTCATGTTATTAAAACTGTTATTTGATATATTTTAATTATTATACATAAATAAATTATTTTTCTTACATTACAAGGTAATGCTAATCCTTGTTTATTTTGTTTTGCTCTTATTTTATATAATAAATACAATGAAAGTTATAGGGCTACATTTTAGCATTTATATATAATATGACAGAGTACTTCAATTTTAAATATTTAGACATTTCTAAACAAAAAATTCTAAGTATTTTTTTAGTATGAATAAAACATTCCTTTATTTAGTTTATTTTTTATTTCAAAGTATATATAGTTTATTTATAATTATAAATATAATCTTTTTTTATGATGGAGAGTTTGTAGTATAATTGAGTTATCAATTTCACACACAATAGCATTAATATTTTATATTACAATTATATATAATATTTTACAATATTTTTCAACCAATAACATAAAAATAAACGTTCTTATGACGTAAAATCTGAGCGCGTCAAACTGCATGCACCAATCAGATTTAAAAATAATATTTGGCAGTGTATCTGGAACATTATTTTTCTTTGCTAGAAGCCACCGTGTTAAAAAAGTCAAAAATAGCCATATGTCGTCGCGGTCACGTTGAAAGAAATACCTGTTGAAAAGAGAACGCAATCGCTCTTTACAGCAATATAATCGCATCATGTAAATGACTTTGCGAATCCTTGTAGGCGACCTTGTTGTTCGCTCTTTGCCTTCTTTTTTGCCTATTTTTTTCTTTTTCCTTGTTTTTCTTTCTCCTTGTTTTTCTTCAAAGCATTAAATTGACTATAATTTCGATCATTTTATTAATATCAATTTAAATTGCTTTACAGAATCTTATGCGCTATTTATTTAATGATGCTTATGTTATATCTAGTTTGATCAGGCTTATTATAAGAAGTCACATAAAGAGAGAGAGAGAGAGAGAAAATAAATAGATTTAGATATCTAAAAAATTATATTTAAATTATATATATATAAAATTAAAATAAAAATTAATAGTAGATAATAATAGATTAGGTTATTTATCAATGTATTTATCAATATATAGATTGTTTTCACTTTCGCGCGCAAAATGCACATATAACAGTATACTTCCATATTTTATGCGTTATGAAAGAGCGCACATTACAAGCTATTTATAAAGTCTTAAAGAAAAAGAAAGTTTATTAGCTGATACCATAAATAGAAGCGCGTGCAGAAAAATACATAACGGATTGATGAATCACAAACTCGCTTTTCTTTGTTACACATCCCGAAAGCGTGACTGCATTCGGTTCTCCTCCGAAATTCTTTCTATATTTTTGTTTATATTTTTGCCAAGTTCGAATACACCAAGATTAGTTCTTTCCTTCGCAGGACAATGTCCTTGTTACCTATACTGGTTAATCTGGGTTAACTAATTGCAAATCTGTGTCTCCGCGTGATGGCCTTTTTTAGCAAATTTAAGATCTTTCGAATGTATTGATTGCGCAATAACGCATTAAGACGAACAACTGAACACTTCATACGATAAAAAGCACGTTATCGTCATTTGTATCATCTGCAATAAATGATAATTAATTAATCTTTCACGACGAATGATGCAATTTATACAACACATATCATGTTTTAGTAAAATTATGGACTATTTTTGGTTATTTCTGGGGGGCTTTTTTCACACAGAGTTCGTATTTATCCAGTGATTAGAACATTCATTTTTAAATTCTAAATTAGATTGTGAAATTTGAAATCAGGCATTTTAAATAATATTTATAGCATTCTTTTTTTGATATATCTTCGTGTTAAATGTATAATTTAAATCTACTTATTTTTTTCAAAAGAGTGGATGAAACTATTATATACGAAAAGTAAAATAATAATCAAAATTTTCCGAAAGAAAAACATTAAGTAATAAACTATATTTCTGAGGCTGAACGTGTGTATATAAAAAAGAAAACAAGCACATGTTTAATGCTCGATAATCTATCAATTAAAATTATATTTATTACACACATACAAAAAAGGTTTGATGTCTCTTGTAGCCTTGCAAGTACAAGCATTAGATATGCAATTGATTCGTCCAGAATAGAATAGTATCAACTAAATCTGGTTACTGTTAGAATTCTGCAATCTTTGGTAAGCTGAGGTCAAGTTAAACTATGATATCATGCATACATATATAAGTATTCTTTTCTGGATTATCTTACTAACTATAGTAAAAGCCTTCATATGAAATTTGACGCTTGCATTTGAATTATCAAGGATAGCACTGTCGATTTACGACAACATCGAACGTAAAAGTTTCTACATATTTTAACGCACCACAGATGTAGAAATGTTTGATGGTATTGTAATTATTGAGAAACTGAATTTAAATTTAATAACGTATTGTTAACAGATTGTTAACAAATGTTATATGTGTGTACGCATCTATTTATCTTTTTAAAGCTAATAATATATATTATACAGACACACAAATATGATGATCATTAAAGAAGACAGCATTCTGAATATTTTACGGCGAAATTTTGATGTATCACTCTTTCTAATTTTTGGATCTTTATTTTTGTAATGTTAAATTCAATTCAGATAAATCTGAAAAGATATTAAAATATTAATACATTTTTTTTTAATTTTGGGAAGTTGTAAATTGTCGTAAATTGCTCAATGTTTTTAGAAATATACTGTTTTCAAATGACAATAGCTATCATAATGTGTGATGCATATATTTGAAATATAGGATGATGTATGTGTGTGTAATAAATCAGAGTAAAGGCATTATATCTTAATAATAGTGATTTTTATAGGCTTCTTATAAACCATCTCAATCTCTTAGGTGGAATATCATTTCGCGAAACGTGCTTATCCATCAAATGCGATTGTGTATCGTGATAAGTAAGCATTCTTGTGTCAAAAATATTTCTGAAACGATATAATATAGTACATTGAAAAGAGTCACGATTAATATGATGCAAAGAAAAGACATCAGGAAACATGTATCTTTAACATATATTTTGCATATCAATACGTCACGTTCTTTATACTTGCCATTTATTAATTTGCATAATAATATGTGTACGTTATCTTCAAAATTTTTAGGATTTTTTATATTTGCGACGAACTTGTAATCGAAACAAAATATGAAAACTTGAAAAAATATGTATATGTAAATTAGATTCGGTCAAAGGAATTGTGACGATAACTTTACGTAATTATTTCTGAATACTGTTAACTAAATGCGATGAAAAATATACGTAAATGTATTTCCCGTACATTACCGAGAATCGTCTTGTTCCAAATTAAACATCTGGCCTTGTTCCAACACGCATGACATCAAATGAATTTATTGCATTTCGAAAAGCACTTGACAGAATTTATTTCAATTTATTTTGCGAGGGGATTATTATTCATTTTTTCCGATTGTGATTATAAATTAACCGCTACTTTATTCAAGCGAACATTTCGACAAAATATTGCCGAAAGCTTTTCGTGTGATATTCGTACGATGGCCTCGATTACAAAAATAATTGTATGCAAACGGATGGATAGGTATGCGCGCGTTAAAAATGACTTCGTGAAAAAAGAAGAACACATAAAAATCAGATGCAGCCCCGATTTCGCGAGAATTGAAACCTGTGCAAATTTCTCGTTTTCAAAGCGATATATGCATCCAGAATTAGAAATCGGTCGAGGATTTCCGAGGCGATTATTAACATGCTCATGGAAAGAGATTCGCCCTTCTGTTTCCAATTTACGCTTTACGTTAAAAACACATTGAATAATTGATGCAATGCAAATCCCAAGGTTTACATTTTATATTTTCGCAAAGCTTTTCATTGCACGCAATTTATTTTGGCCGATATTTTAAAGTCATATTTTTTTTAATGTGACATTTGTACAGATACAAATCAAGCAGAATGGTGACTCTAAATGCCGCAATAAATATTGGTGTTTTCATTGTTATTGTGCGTTGAAAATTACTATACAGAAGTATTATTAAGTATAGATATTATATATGATATTGTGTGTGACGTACAAACTTTGCCTATATCTCGTACTCATGATATTTTGAAACCATAAGTCTTCAATATTTACTTGAGTATCGATAAGTTGTAATCATTTGTGTCAATATTTTAGTAATATCTTATATGTTATTATTTTGACGATTTTTAAATTGAAAGTTACTAAAAGAATTATTTTTCTTTTTCAAGAAAATTTTAATAAGGTGACTTGGATTTTCTTTATAATTATTTTTTGGGATAATTTTCATTAATTTCCTGACAGCTATTATATGCAAATTATAGTTCTCTCGTTCAATTAAATTTTTTAAATGTTTGGAATTGTTTTTGTGGATAAAAATCGCGCGCGCGCGAGGATGAAAGAATTGGTGTTTTCATTGTTATTGTGCGTTGAAAATTACTATACAGAAGTATTATTAAGTATAGATATTATATATGATATTGTGTGTGACGTACAAACTTTGCCTATATCTCGTACTCATGATATTTTGAAACCATAAGTCTTCAATATTTACTTGAGTATCGATAAGTTGTAATCATTTGTGTCAATATTTTAGTAATATCTTATATGTTATTATTTTGACGATTTTTAAATTGAAAGTTACTAAAAGAATTATTTTTCTTTTTCAAGAAAATTTTAATAAGGTGACTTGGATTTTCTTTATAATTATTTTTTGGGATAATTTTCATTAATTTCCTGACAGCTATTATATGCAAATTATAGTTCTCTCGTTCAATTAAATTTTTTAAATGTTTGGAATTGTTTTTGTGGATAAAAATCGCGCGCGCGCGAGGATGAGAGAGTGTAGATGTCGGACTTTCCCTGGTCACATAGAAAGGCAACTGCAACCAAGCGTGTCTCGAGAG